ATGTTTGAGCTGCCAGTGTACTACAAAATGTTGAAGTTTAAAACCTAAAGTCTTCTATTTTCCATGCTCTCAGAAGCTGGGCATGTTTCTGTTACTTGTTCAAGGTTATAGCAGAGGCAGGCCCAGGAGCCACCCTCCTACCTGGGCCACGGTGCTCTCCACAGTGATGTGCACACCCAAAGTGCTTTCAGGTCTAAGTCAAATCTTGACTCACAAGGGATTTCCTTCATGCACCTCCAGGGAAGGGGAGAAAGAGAGACAGAGAAAGAGAAGAAAAAATCATGTCACATAGTGAGAGATAAGAGTAAGAGATTATAGTAAAGGGTAAGAGGAAGAATATATCTTCAAAAGAAACTTGGAGTTTTATTTGTTAAGGTTTACATTTTTATTACTCATGAAGGTATTTGAAAAAAAACTCAGCCCTCCAAAAAATGTTCTACCTGCCAGGATTTGGAAAATAATACAAGGACCTCTTGTCCCCATGTGGCTCTTCAAATAACTGTGAATTCCCAACAATAATCTCACCGTGGGTTCGGACACTGCAGTTCTAAAAAGAAAATAGAATCTCCCCTCTCTAGAATCTTAACTAGGGTAACACTTGAGGTATTAATTGATTCATTCAGTCTCTCATTCACTTATTTCTTTATGCATTCAGGTATTTGTTCAGCATATCTACTGGATCCTTCTTCTGTGCTAGAGAAATACCAAGCTGAGGATACAGTAGGGAACAAGGCAGATATATTGTCTATGCCAATAAGAGAGCTTGAATCAATGTTTTTAATGGTGCAGGCTAATGTGGCTGGGTGTAATGAATCCGAAAGTCAAAAATCAAGGACAGATTAGCTTAAATAAATGTCTCAAGGCACTCACCTTTCCTAATATTAAATTATTTCCCCACTGCCGCCTTCCACTACCTCATCAGGAGCTAAGATCTAAGCATATGATGGTAAGGCTCTTAAGAGAAAGCCTAGTACATTCTCTATACTAGAATCCCCTAGTGTTGTGTTTTGCATTGCTTCAGTCGATTTACCTTTCTCTATTATGCCTTGTACCTTCACTGCCACACTTAACACTTGTTAAGTGTATTTGCTGAAGCAAGATTAATATGTAGTTAGAAGTTTTCCTGAAAGGCATAAAAATCATAGGTTCCAGGTTATGTTCTAAGCACAGTGCCCTGGAAATCTCTGTAAAAATTATATCCCTGGCAATGCAGTTTGATTCACAAACATGAGATTGCATTTTCACTAGAAAAGCAACAATAATGTTTAGGTGTTAAATGCAAAAAGAATTCTGTCTATAACGACAGAAAAGTCCCCTCTTGAAGAGTAATATTTCATGCCTGGCCTGACACTGGAAAAAAAAAGTGTTTATTTCTCTCATTATTGCCACCTCGTGGACAAAGGTGATTTATTTGGACAGCACATAGGAGCATGTCTTAGTATTACCACAAGATGGCAACACATAACCACATTTTCAAAAATGTGCTCAGACTGTTCTGCTCCTACAGAAGGTGGTGGTTAGGAAATAATAGTCTAAAATAAGCATTCCGTTCCCTTTTCCTAAAGAAAAATGGAATTCCAAGTGTTAAGATCTTTAGGATTCCACAAAGAAGTTGATTTATTACAGGCATAGGGAGGAGTACTTAACATTTAACTGGCAACTTATTTTGCTTTTTAAAGATATTTCAAGCAAATGTATATTTCATATCTGAATTTTTCTGATATTAGCTTCACAGAGAATATTTGGGAATGTTTTTTATATGCTTCTTGCAATCAACTGTCTCTAGTGGATTCATAGGGGAGAATCTGTTTCCTAAGAGATCCATTAGAATCCATTAGAACATGTGGATTCTTACCCACACCTAGGCCAGTGATAGGTTAATGCAGGCACATTGCTAGACTTTTCCTGATCAAAATGTACTCTAATCAATCTGCTTTCCTGTC